GTGCGTGCTCCCGATCCGCTCCGTCTCCTCCCGCAGCCGCGGGTACGAGCCCAGCTGGGAAAACGGCAAAAATCCCGGAAAAGTCCCGGAAAAGTCCCGGGAAAATCCCGGAAAAGTCCCGGGAAAAATCCCGGAAAAATCCCGGAAAAATCCCGGAAAAGTCCCGGGAAAATCCCAGAAAAGTCCCGGAAAAGTCCCGGAAAAGTCCCAGGAAAAATCCCGGAAAAATCCCGGAAAAGTCCCGGAAAAATCCTGGAAAAATCCCGGGAAAATCCCGGAAAAATCCCGGAAAAGTCCCGGAAAAATCCCGGGAAAATCCTGGAAAAGTCTGGGAAGAGCCGTGGGGGATGGGCTGAGACCAATCAGGACGGGATCAGGATCAGGATGGGATCGGGATGGGATCGGGATCAGGATCAGGATCAGGACGGGATCGGGATCAGGACGGGATCGGGATCAGGACGGGATCGGGATCAGGACGGGATCAGGATGGGATCGGGATTGGGATCCAGAGGGATCGGGATGGGATCCGGAGGGATCGGGTTTGCCCAGTTTGACCCCAATCCCTCCCCAGTTTGCCCAGTCCCACACCAGTTTCTGACCCCAGTCCCTCCCCAGTTTGACCCCAGTCCCTCCCCAGTTTGACCCGTCCCCTGACCAGTCCCACCCCAGTATGACCACAGTCCCTTCCCAGTTTGCCCAGTCCCCTGACCCGTCCCTCCCCAGTTTGCCCAGTCCCACACCAGTTTCTGACCCCCGTCCCTTCCCAGTTTGACCAGTCCCCTGACCAGTCCCTCCCCAGTTTGCCCAGTCCCACACCAGTTTCTGACCCCCGTCCCTTCCCAGTTTGACCAGTCCCCTGACCAGTCCCTCCCCAGTTTGCCCAGTCCCACACCAGTTTCTGACCCCCGTCCCTTCCCAGTTTGACCAGTCCCCTGACCAGTCCCTCCCCAGTTTGCCCAGTCCCACACCAGTTTCTGACCCCCGTCCCTTCCCAGTTTGACCAGTCCCCTGACCAGTCCCTCCCCAGTTTGCCCAGTCCCACACCAGTTTCTGACCCCCGTCCCTTCCCAGTTTGACCAGTCCCCTGACCAGTCCCTCCCCAGTTTGCCCAGTCCCACACCAGTTTCTGACCCCCGTCCCTTCCCAGTTTGACCAGTCCCCTGACCAGTCCCTCCCCAGTTTGCCCAGTCCCACACCAGTTTCTGACCCCCGTCCCTTCCCAGTTTGACCAGTCCCCTGACCAGTCCCTCCCCAGTTTGCCCAGTCCCACACCAGTTTCTGACCCCCGTCCCTTCCCAGTTTGACCAGTCCCCTGACCAGTCCCTCCCCAGTTTGCCCAGTCCCACACCAGTTTCTGACCCCCGTCCCTTCCCAGTTTGACCAGTCCCCTGACCAGTCCCTCCCCAGTTTGCCCAGTCCCACACCAGTTTCTGACCCCCGTCCCTTCCCAGTTTGACCAGTCCCCTGACCAGTCCCTCCCCAGTTTGCCCAGTCCCACACCAGTTTCTGACCCCCGTCCCTTCCCAGTTTGACCAGTCCCCTGACCAGTCCCTCCCCAGTTTGCCCAGTCCCACACCAGTTTCTGACCCCCGTCCCTTCCCAGTTTGACCAGTCCCCTGACCAGTCCCTCCCCAGTTTGCCCAGTCCCACACCAGTTTCTGACCCCCGTCCCTTCCCAGTTTGACCAGTCCCCTGACCAGTCCCTCCCCAGTTTGCCCAGTCCCACACCAGTTTCTGACCCCAGTCCCTCCCCAGTTTGCCCAGTCCCACACCAGTTTCTGACCCCAGTCCCTTCCCAGTTTGCCCAGTCCCGTCCCAGTTTGCCCCCAGTCCCGTCCCAGTTTGACCAGTACCTTACTGGTGCACTGGACTGCCCAGTGCCATCCCAGTTTGCCCAGTCCCGTCCCAGTTTGACCAGTACCTTACTGGTGCACTGCCGCACGGTGTTGATCAGCTCCTGGATCACCAAATCCACACATTTCAGGCACGGCTCCTTCAGCTTCACCAGCTGCTTCTTGACGATGGCCTCGAACGCCAGGTCCGGAGTGAACAGCCCCGTCCTGAGCGGGAACAGCCGGAAAACAGTCGGAAAACGGCGGGAAACAGTCAGAAACAGCCGGAAAACA